GCCGGAGGGCCACTTTCTGGCTCCCTGGGGCCTGTCCCTGCCCTCCCAGGCTTCATGCCTGCACCCCCCAACACACACACACACACACACACACACACACACACACACTGGCCACACTCCTCTGCGCCTCTGCGGGTGAGGGAGTGGGAAGGGTGGGGCGTTGTTCTCAGATCTTGGACATCCCCCTCAGCCCTGGTCGCTCTCTTTTGCTTCATGTGGGAGGGTCGTGGTGCTGGGCACGACCAAAATGACCTGGGGGCCACTCACAGTGATGCTGTACCAACAGTGCTAAATAGTGCGGTGCTGGGTGCTGGGAGGCAGTGCTGGGTGCTGAGATGCAGTACTGGGTGCCAGGATGTAGTACCGGGTGCCAGGAGGTAGTACTGGGTACTGGATGCAGTGCTGGGTGTTGGGATGTAGGGTTGGGTGCTGGGATGCAGAGCTGGGTGCTGAGATGCAGTACTGGGTGCCAGGATGCAGTACCGGGTGCTGGGAGGTAGTGCTGGGTCTAGGACATAGTACTGGGTGCTGGGAGGCAGGGCTGGGTGCTGAATACAGTGCAGGATTTTGGGTGCTGGGATGCAGTACTGGGTGCCAGAACACATTACCAGGTGCTGGGAGGTAGTGCTGGGTGCTAGGACATAGTACTAGGTGCTGGGAGGCAGTGCTGGGTGCTGGGATGCAGTGCTGGGTGCTAGGATGCAGTGCTGGGTGCTGGGATGATGTACCTCACGGCTGACCTTGCTTCCTAGTAACCCCCTGGGCCCCACCAGAGATGCTGGACGGGGGTGGGGCGTGTGTTGCTATGGACAGAACAAGGTCCCGGCATGCAGAGCGGGCACCCTCATCCCGTGCCGCTTCTCCACCCCACCCCCACCCTGCCCGTGTCTCTGCTCCGTTTCTCTCTCTCCTTGCTGCAAAGATGAGCAGCTCACAGGGCTGGAGCGATAACATGGCTGGTGGCACTGGCCTCGCATGTGGCTGACTCTGGTTCATTCCCCAGCGCCATACGTGGTTCCCTGAGCACTGCCAGGGGTCACTCTTTTTTTTTTCCTTTTTGGGTCACACCCGGCGATGCGCAGGGATTACTCCTGGCTCTGCACTCAGAGTGACTCCTGGCGGTGCTCGTGAGACCATACGGGATGCTGGGAATCGAACCCGGGTCAGCCGCGTGCAAGGCAAACACCCTCCCCGCTGTGCTGTCTCTCCAGTCTCAGGGGTCACTCTTGAGCACAGAGTCAGGAATAGCTCCTCAACATGGCAGGGTGCGCCTCCCCCCCAGAGACGTTCAACTCTAAACAGCACCATCCCTTCAGCTGAATGAAGACACTCATCATTGTCTCCATAACACCGTCACCACTGTCACCTCAGAGCCTCTTTAGGGACCGGGTCTCATAGCTTGTGCTTAGTCCCTGATTCTCAACCACAGGAAAAGAGGGCTGAAAATCACAGCTGAGATCCAAAAAGCCCGGCCCTCACGGGACTGAGGTCTTGGCCAAGGCCGCCTCCTCAAAAGGCTTGTCCCAAAAGGCTGCTTCCTCTCAGACTAATCCCTTCTTTTTATTTGTTTACTTGTTTGGACCCAACCCGACAGTGCTCAGGTCTGACTCCTGGCTCGGTGCTCAGGGGTCACTGCTCGGAGGGGCTCGGGGATCACTCCTATGGGATGCCGGGGATTGATCGTGAGTTGGCTCCCGACTTTGCTATCGCTCTGCCTCTGTGCCCTGCCTCTCTCCCCCTGCCACAGGGCTGTGCGCTCCCACGAGTCTATTCTGTCTTCCCGACTAGAATCCAAGCTCCGTGTGGGCAGGGCCTGTGGGCCTGGCCGGGAGCCACATTCCTAGAATCGCCAGCGGGACGCACAGCAGAAACCCTAAAAAGATTAGAATGAATAGATTCTCTCCTTCTCTCCCAACGACTGTCACCAGAGGCGGGGTGCCATCCTCACTCTCCTGGGCCTGGGAAAACCATGCCCCAAGGTGCCCCTGCAGCAACAGGCCCACATGTCAGACCGTGAGAAGTTCTAGAAGAATCTTCCCCGGGCACCTGAACCCTGCGTGGCTCACACAGAACCACTGAGCTGTGTGCTGGAGCCTGAGACCTGTTTGCCAGTCCCTTTGCCCCGGGACGCTTCTTAACTTCTTAACCCACCTTCCTCCTTTGCATCGCCAGAGTTGGCACCCCCTTTTCATGCCAGCCCCAGAGTTAGAACCTCCCCCCAAGATTCTCCCCATGGTCAAGTCCTATACACTCACCGAGGACCTAATTTGCCTCTTCACCGTCAAACCTCATCCTTCCTTCTCAGCACCTCATCTCGTTTCCTCCCGTGACCCTGAACCAGATGGAGCAGGTTAGGGGGTCCGGGTGGGTGCAAAGAAGGGATCCGGGCTTTGATTTTTGTCGTCCAGGGTTCTCCGATGGCCACCCCGGGTTCCTATGCCTCCCTGAATTCAGCAGCTGCCTCTGAGCCAAGCTACACAGAAGCAGCCCGAGGGAGCTTGTTAAAATGAAAACCTGAGCATGTCACTTCCCTGCTTAAAAGTCATCAATGAACCCACATGTTGGTGAGGGGGAGGGATAGCGGGCTGGCTCCGAGGCGTTCCCGGGAGTGTAATCGGCTCCATTTCGGCATTATCTATCCACATTCCAAATGCAAGTTCTCTTTGACCCAGAGTTTCTACTTCCTGAAAATTATCCTGCAGATGCCCTCACACAAGCACACAGTGATCTATGCATGAGGTTATTCACTGTAGCATTGTTCACTGTAGCCAAAGATTGGAAGCCGCGTAAGTGCCCATCAAGAGGGGACTGGTGAAATAAATTTTAGTGTATCCATAACAGCTGTTAAATAAAAGAATGAGGAAGCTCTTTATGTACTGATACGGAATAATCTTCAAGATGTATTGTTAAGTGAAAAAGGCAAACAGGGTGTCTAGTGAGTGCTTATAGCTACCATTTTTGTGGGGGAAAAAATAAAACAAATGCATGTACCTATTTCCTTGTACATGCATAGAAGAGCTCTGGAAAGATACACAGGAAAATTACATTGGTTGCCTTGGGGACGCAGGCTGGTGCCTCCGAGGCTGGAAGGGGTGAAGAATTCACACTACATATCCATTTGGACTTTCTGAATTTTGAACCTTGAAATGGATAATCTGGTTTTTTTTTAAACTTAATATTTTTTCAAGTCAATGAGTTCCGAGCTCTCCCCGGATGTGTGCGCCGAGAGCCCCTACCTTCGCAGCTGCAATTAGGGGAGGGGTAAGGGAAGCAGCTCCTCTCTTTCATGTTTCTTTAATGTCTGAATGTTTTCTAACATGCATCACATTTGCAAGGAGGAAAAAAAAAGAAGACAAGGAAGATGTTATGTTCGGAGAATACAATTATAACTGTGCGCCTGGATTGAAATTCCCAGCCCCCTCCTCCCAACAGAAAAAAAAAACACGAATCAAAGCCCCCACCTCAAATCTGTTGCCTGCTCCCGTCAGAACAAAGCTGAGACTGGCCGGCTTCCACCAGGGCCTCGGCCAGGCCCTCTGCAACCCTGCACTGCACGTGGGCGCTTCTGGGTTGCTTACAATTCCCCTCATGCTTCGACTGCTCTGGCCCTCTCCGATTTTTGCATGCACCGTGCCCTCTGCCTGCAATGCCCTTCTCTGGCCAACACCTTATCCTCTTGCAGATCTGAGGCTTCCGCCCTGAGAATCTTTGCGCGGGCACATTCAGTATCCCTGCCCTCCCTTGTCTGTCCTCTTGCCCCCACGGGAACCTGAACCCCGTGAAGGCATTTGATGAACAATCTGGCGCTCTCCCTCTCCTTCCTATTCTGGGGGCGCAGAGAGCAGGGCCCGGGGAATTGGCTGCCACTCCCCTCTGCGTGGCTCCTAGTGAATCGCTCACCTCCCAGCCTCTGTCTCCTTCTTTCTGCCGACCCCTCCCTGCACCCCCACCCCCTCCTGAGAGGGCCCTCGTGCCCTAATCCCGTTCAAAGCTCAAAGGGAGCGAGACGGGGGCTGGCGGACAGCAAGCAGCAAAGCCAATCTTCCCTGAAGGTCTCGGGCTCTCTCTTTCCAAAAGATCTTCAATAACTTCCCTCCGAACAAAGCGCTCACGGCTGCTGGGAAAGTGCCCTTCACCAGCAAAAAGGACTCGGTAGGAACAAAGCCGGGAGGGCTGCGGACACGCCTGCCTCGCCTCAGTTTATCGCCCAGGGGGGATGCGTAGCTCTGAACTCCTTTCAGGGTCCCTAGGCTGGCCGGCCGCCTTCCGCCTGGTCCTGCAGGTGTCTTCCCACCCCATTCTGCTCGTAGGCCTCTTCCCGCTGCCAGCCGGACTGCCTGCCCTATGTCCATCCTGGAAACAAGAGACTGGGCAACTGCCACCTGCTTCCAGGGCTGTTAGCTGGAAAGGTGCTGAGCCCATAGGAGGAGGTGATGAGCTGCCACCCCAGGCCACGCCCCTTCCCGCCCCTCCCTGCCCAGTCCAGGCCCCGCCCACTCCAGGCATGGCCCCGCCCCATCCCGGCCCAGGTCCCGCTCCTTCCGGCCCCATCCTGGTTCAGTTCAGGCCTCACCCTTCCTAGGCCCCGCCCACTCCCGGTCTGAGCCCGCCCCATCATCCTGGCTCAGTCCAGGCCCTGCTCCGCCCTGCCCAGCCCCGCCCACTCCAGACCTGGCCCCGCCCCAGCCCAGGTCCCGCCCCTTTCCACCCCATCCTGGCCCAGTTCAGGCCCTGCCTAGGCCCCGCCCACTCCAGACCTGGCCCCGCCCCATCCTGGCCCAGTTCAGGCTCCGCCCTTCCCAGGCCCCGCCTACTCCAGACCTGGCCCCGCCCCATCCTGGTCCAGTCCAGGCCCTGCCCAGGCCCCACCCCTACCCCACCCACGCAGGTGCAGCCCCGCCCCATTCTGACTAGGCACAGCCACGCTCACATCTCGGATAGCTACGTCCCCACCCCAGGCCACCCCAGTCCCACCCCTCGACCCTGGCTCCGTCCCTCACCCGTCTTGGGGTCCACGGTGAAGTGATGCTCTCCGTCCAGCACGCTGTACACCAGCCGAGCGCTGCTGCCATAAGTGGGGTCATCTGCATCTGAGGCCATCACCTGCATCACCGATGTGCCTGGACCCGGGGGACCAAGCGACACGAGGGTTACCTGGGGCCACTGTAATTGTCCTCCCCACCGGCTCCCTCCGCCCCCGCTCCCGCCCTAGGAGACGCTGAGAATGAAGCACCAGGCTGGCTGGAGGTAACTGCGGTCAGTCCACTCACCACCACCCCCGCACCCTGTCCCCAAACAGTCCCGCCCTGCTTTCCAGGGTGCCTCTGGATTGCACCTTCCCAGGCGTGGTCCCCAGCGGCAGGACAGGGCAGGGAGGTCGTCTCTGAATGTTTCCTCTTCAGCAAACTGGGGGCTGGGAATCTCAGTCCTTGAGGAATCTCCACCTCAAGGCAATGGTATTCTCCACAGCTGGTGCAGAGCCAGCCCGGGCGGCAGCCGGCCCAGCACAAGTGGCACAGGAAGGCCATTGCGAAGTCCGAGAAAGGAGACCGGGCAGCCGGGCAGCTGCCACCCAAGGCAGGGTCTCTGGACCCACCTCAGGCTACCCCGGTTTCTCAAGAGACTTCTGCCCCTTCTGCCCATCCTGCTCTGCCGTGGTGGGTTCGGGGTAGCCCAGAAGGTTGACTGAGGGGCACTGGTGCCCCAGAGGCCACGCTGACCTGTCCCTGGCGATCCACTGGCTTTGCCCAGCCTCCCTATGGGACGTGATTGAGTGGGCCCTGCCCCCCACTCCAGTCCCGCCCCCAGACCCCTGCCCGCCTCTCCACATGCTCTGCACGTCGGCTTCTGGGGAGAGTATAAATTGGATAAAAGTCCATCAAACAGCGGCAATTAAGTTATTGATTTTCGACGCTGCCTCATTAAGCTGGGCGCTTCTCTCGGCCTGTCCCAGAGATGGTTCTAATTTGACATCATGTTCAATTTGACGAAAGCAGGGTTTGGGACGTGAGGATGGAGGTGGGGGCAGGTGGGGGGAGGCAGGAAGGAGAGGCAGGTCCAGGCCCTGGTGTCCAGCTGAACCTTTCCAGCAAGAATGGGGGTGAGGTGGCCAGCTCCAAGAGGCAGTCTTGGGGGTCCAGAATTTGACCGGATGGTACCGGGGCTCGCCTCTCGCTTCAGAGAGGGGCTGTCTCTTGGGTGTGCCCCCGTGGGGGCGGGGGTTTGCCGGGGGGGGGGGGGGGGGGGGCGCTGCGAGAGTCAGAGCCTGCAGGGCTGCCGAGTGGGAGGAGAGGCCAGTTCACTGCCTGGCTAATGAGTGCGCTCTGAAGTACTCCTATGGCGGTTCTGCTGAGCCCAGCCTGCCGCCGCCTCCAGCCTGGGGCCCTCCATCATTCCAGACAGACACATGTATTTATTTTTCACTCTTTTGCATTCCTCACTTCCCTCTCAGAGCTCCCCCTCCCCACCCGAGCTTCCTAATCCGGCCCCTGCAATGCGCCTCCTCTCCATCAACCATGCCCGAGTGGGGGCTGGGGAAGGGTTGGGGCCAGCCCCCACCGCCTGCAACCCTACCCGCAGTTCATGCTCCCTGACAAGGGTCCCCTTCTAAGGAACACGGGTGGTACCCTCCATAGAGATGAGAAGGCCGTTCCACTGGGCACCCGACCCAAGTGTGGCTTCCCCAGCCACTCACCCCATCATCTCTGACCTTCCCAAGGTCCCCAAGAGGCCAGGAGGCCCCTCAAATAACAGGACAGGAAATGGGGAACACGGACGGCAAGGCCTGGCCGAGAGCACAGAGCGAGGGAGTGGTGGTGGGCTCGAACCCAGGACTCAGGGCAAAGTCTTTCCGGGATCCGACTCCGCACAGACCCTGCCACCCGAGGTCCCTGGGTCATGATCCCTGATGGCACGTGGCCACCACTTAGCGCTGTGACCTCGGGCATGTCACCCTCCCCTTTGCGCCTGTTTTGTTTTCACTTCGGAAACGGCAGGGAGGTGAGGATGGCTGCCGAACTCTGGGCATCCTTGGAAGAATGCAAATCGGGTTCCACATTCAGCACGGAGCACGGTGCCTGGGCCGTGCCCGGCATTTACGAAAGGCAGATTGTTGACATCGGGGGAGGCGCTGCATGGCCAGATACAGTGGCACGACCACGCCTCCCTCCCTCACAGACAGCGGCAATGGGAGAGGACGGGTGCACTGTGAAGGGTGGGAGAGGGTCTCCTGGGTGGACCCCTCCTCGTACCCCTCTCACCCACTGCATGAGGCACAATGCAAGATGAGTGACTCCCTAGGGACGTGGTTGAAGGTAGGGCTCCTCTCTCTTTCTCTCTCTCTCTCTCTCTCTCTCTCTCTCTCTCTCTCTCTCTCCTCCCTCTCTCTCTGGCTGCATCCCAGGGACTCCCGAGGGACTGATGGAATCATTTCCACAATCCCGGATTCTTTATTACAGCCATTACAGTTAATGCCGACACGTGGGGTTGGTGAAGGGTCAGTGATTCACTGCCTCCCCCCACACCCCACCCCACAAGGGCCCTCTACACCCCCCCAGCTCCACAAGTCAGCAGCTCCCCAGAATCAGCAGAAAAAGGGAACCCAGTGGATGATTACTATGGGACCTCCTGGGGGACATGCCCACCCCGCCCAGCCCTGGTCCAGCAGCTGCCCACGTTCCTTCCCTTCCTCGGCTCTCATACCGGCTCTCTGAGGCAGGTGCCAGGGGTGCCCGCTCCCGGGCATGCAGGGGTGGGGAGGGACATCCTGTTTGTGGGGTTTTTATTTCCATGTTTCAATACTCTCTCCATGACCGATTTCGAGTTACCAATGTGACATGAAGTGGCCCAGGAAACTCCTAGAAGTCAGTACCTGGCCCTCGTGGGGGTGATGCCCACCTCCGTCAGCACCTTCCCCGCTGTTCCCATTTCCCAGATGAAGAAACAGATAGGCTTGCCACAGGAGCAGATTAATCATGCCACTCATCAATATGTGATTATTTGTGATAACTGCAGATGCCAGGGAAGACTTGGTGACGGATGCTATAGGAGCCCGTTCTGTGCTACCTAGTGGAACGTACACCCCAAATCTTCGAGAATAGCCTTGAGAGCTTTCACCTTACAGATGGGGAGCAAAGAAAGTCATGACTATTTCTTTGCCTCAAGGTCTTCCGTGGAGAAACAGGAGCGATCGCACCACCAAACCCTCCAGATCGTTGTGCCAATCAAGTCCTGTGTTCAGGACCAAGGACAGGACCAGGCTCCAGCCCCACCTCTGGGAAATAAACAGGACAGGCAAGATTCAAACCCAGCGTTGTTCTGAGGTCAAAGCTTCACGTGTATCTTGCTATATAAAAGAGAAGGAGGAGGAGAAGAGAGAGAGAGAGGGAGGAGGAAATGTAGGAGGAGGAGGAGTAGAAGGAGGAGGAAGAGGAGGAGGAGGATCAGGACAAGGACAAGGATGAGGTGGAGGAAGAGGAGGAGGAGGAGGAGGAGGAGGAGGAGGAGGAGAAGGAAGTGGAGGAGGAGAAGAAGGAGAAGGAGGAGGAGGATCAGCAGGACGAGGACAAGGATGAGGAGGAAGAGGAGGAGAAGGAGGAGGAGGAGGAAGAGGAAGTGGAAGAGGAGGAGGAGGAGGAGGAGGAGGAGGAGGATGAGCAGGACGAGGACAAGGATGAGAAGGAGGAGGAAGAGGAGGAGGAGGAAAAGAGGAGGATGGAGAGAAAGAGGAGGAGGGGAAGAGGAGGAGCAGGAGGAGGGGAAGAGGAGGAGGAGGAGGAGGAGGAGGAGGAATGAGAATGAGAATGAGGATGAGGATGAGGAGACAGGCAAGAGAGAGTGGCAAGAACCAGAGAAGGGACAGGGCGGGCGAGTCTGAGAGCAGCCAGGGGCTGGTTTGGTTTTCTCTCTCCCTCCAGAGCTGTTCATGCTCAGCCTTCCAGGGGATGAGTCATCTGCTGTCCCGGTGCTTCCTGCCCTGCTCGCGGCATTAACGCCTTCCACCCAGGCTGGAGAGGGAGGCCTGTCAGATGCCCTCGGAGCCCAGCGCTTGTGTGGAGTGTCGCCGTGGGAGGGGCTGGTCCTCCGAGAGCTCAGCGCCGGGGGCTCCCCACCTGGCTGCACTACCCGAATCTCCGAGGAGCTTTCAAACCAAACCGACGCTCAGCCCTGGATCAGACCCGCTCCAGGGGAGTCCCTGGGGGCGCAGGACCCACAAGGGCATTTCCCCCCCCCCCAAGCTCCTGCAACAATTCTGAAGCGTGTCTCCAGCTTATGAGGAAGGAGCGCTTCAGACCCAACCCCGGCTTGAACTCCGGAGGGAACTGAGTCACAGAGCGGCACCGCGAGGATCCCAAGACGGCGTCACGAGGGAGGGAAAGATGTGAAGGTGGCATGCCATGCGACACCCCAGAGAGATGGGGCCACCGAGCCAGTTGGACTTCTCCCGGGCCAAACCACCAAGGAGCTGGATGCCCCCAAAGGAGAGGCTGGTCTCAAGGTTGTCACTGCCTCGTTCTGTGCTGTCAATCAAGCCTTTCCCTGTCCCGTCTGTCTCCTCATCAGTAACCTTCAGCCATGTGGACAGTCCTGCCCTGCCTCTGAGCCATGCTGATGGGGGGCGGGGTCAGAGAGGGTGGGGGCCTGGGCTGGGGAAGCCAGGCGCGCAGGGGGCCTCAGTATTGTTGGGAGGCCAGGTCCCTTAGTATCCGAGTACTTAACACCGGAGTACTTAGTACCCTGAGTACTGGTACTCGAGAGCCTGGACCCCTGAACTAAGAGTCCAGGCTCTCGAGTACCAGTGTGTGTGTGTGTGTGTGTGTGTGTGTGTGTGTGTGTGTGTCTCGGGGGGGGGCAGGGAAGAATTGCACAGTCAACATCTCTGTATTTTTTTTTCTGACATGGCTGATTTATTCGGGCAGTGCTGGGGTTGGATCAAACACAGGCAAGACCACGTGTCTCCTACCCAGCCCTTATCTGGGCCTCTGACACGGCACCTCAAGGAGCCGGAAGTGTAAGGTACACCCTTCCTGTTTTTTTTTTCTTTTTGGGTCACACCTGGCCATGCACAGGGGTTCCTCCTGGCTCATGCACTCAGGAATTACTCCTGGCGGTGCTCAGGGGA